TTCACTACACTGATTTCACAGGCATCACATGAGCAGGAAGAGCCAACTCTGCCAGGAGAGTTGTATTTTTAATATTACTGAAAACACCCCGGGAGCGCGCCTCACCACAGCCTGCAGTGCCGAGGCCTTGGCTGCCTCCCGCGCCCCAGCCCCGAGGAACCCAAACAGGTGCTGCCAGCATATTTTGACTCAAGTCCCATGATGGGCCATCGGATCAGTCCCAAACTGGAGCTGGGTGGTTGCCGGTTCCCTCAATTAGGAAGGCTCCCTGACTTTAGTTTAATCCCTTGCTTATTAATGAAGCTCACCTCTTTGATCAAAGACTTGTACTGATTTCAATTAGCATTGAGCAAGAGCCCACTGACAGGAAAGGCTGTACTAGGAGGAGCAGCTGCTGTGCCCTGAAGGATTTCTTCACCCTCGTGACCAAAATCTATAGTCATAGGTGAACAGTATTTATTCCCAACCAAACTGGAGAAAACTCAAGTCATCCTCTGCTGGCAGCATAGCTCTGCTGAAATAAAAGCCGGAAGCACGGACTGCCCGGGGAGCTCCAGTTCTTCCCATCTCAAGCACCAGGGAGGGACCAAGCCCTGCCTACAAAAAGGGCGAAGCCAGGGGAAGGTAAGCCTTGGCTTCACGTTTGGACAGCGCTGTCAAGTGGGATATTGCTGGGGTGAGTAGCTGCACCCGCGCCTGCCTGGCACGGGTTTTTAATAACTGTGTCTTCCTTAACTGTAACCATGCCTGTTGTCGTCTCCAAGAGGGAGACAGCGGCAGAGGATGTCTCTGTCTAGGTGAAGAATGACTTTAAGACATAAGGGCAATCAAATCATATGAAAGGTTGAGTTTCTAGAGTAACAAAAGCTGGGATGGACCCGCAAGGGGAATAAGCAACACAAGTGTGATTTGAGGAGCTGTGAAAAAAAGAGGGGAGTGATGGACCTACTAAATATTTACAAAGCCGTGGGAACAGAGCTATTGTCTGAGCCTGTATGCAACAGAATATATGCCTGTGGGTAACAGAAGACAAGTACAATTATTTAGATACCACATTAATATATGTGGTGTGTTAATGCTTTGATACACTCTCCCAGCTACACTGTGTTGATAAAAACTAGGGACCACAAAAAAAGAAGTGGTAGGATTTGCATCAGAGGAAACCAAAGCAGTGGGAAAGGAGAGAGGAGGTCACTCCAGAAGGAAACACTGTGGTGGGGTTGTCAGCCAGAAGTACAGGGTTGCACCACTGCCTTTATCATAAATCACAGAATGGTGTGGGTTGGAAGTGACCTTAAAGATCAGCCAGTTCCAAACCCTGCCATGGACAGGGGCATCTTCCACTAGACCAGGTTGCTCAAAGCCCCATCCATTCTGGCCTTGAACACTGCCGGGGATAGGGCAGCCACAGCTTCTCTGAGCAGCCTGTGCCAGTGCCTCACCGGCCTCATAGTGAAGAATTTCTTCCTAATACGTAATCTGAACCTACCATTTCTCAACTTAAAGCCATTTCTCCTTGTCCTGTCACCACATGCCCTTGTAAAAAGTCCCTCACCAGATTTCTTGTAGTCCCCTTTAGGTACTAGAAGACTGTTAGAAGGTCTCCCCTTATATACTCAAAGCTTGATTTGTTTAAAGAAATAAGATATTTTTAAAAGTTCAGATTTTATTTTTGTGCTGTTAATGACAGTGCTTGCCTATGGCCAAATCCACTGTAAACTTCTGCTTTGCAACATCAGAAACAAATGGAGTGCATGGCAGGGACAGGCTCTTGATGTTCCGGAAATAATTCAGGAATAGTGGGCTCGCCAGCAACAAATAAATGCACCTGCTACTGCAGGGGTGCGCCGCTTGTCAGCAGCATCCCCAGAGCCTTTGAGATGTGTCTCCTCCTAAAGTGACCGACCTCTGGAAAGGTTGGCATAGGGGATGCTGGAGTGTTGTGCTAGGGGTGGGAGATGTGATGCTGGTAGTCTAGATGCTAGTCGGGTCAGGAATAAGAGATGGTGCCAAATGCGGTGAGGGTGTTCCCAGAGCATTTGCAACCACCTGAATAAATCAGAGAGACGTGCTCTGGTAGCGCTGTCCCAGCTGCTGCCCTGCTTGGTGTTGCTGCTTGTTGATGATCCAGCATCTGAGCTGCTCCGCAGCAAAGCAGCACATGGGGTTTTTTAGCTGCAGCAAAGCAAATGCTTTATCCCCCTGCCCGACGTGGTTTTGCTTTGCCGCAGCCTGTGGCGGGAAGTCAGTCAAGTCACCAGAAAAAATTGCTGAGTGGGAAATGTGGTTTTCTCTGCCAAAATTCCTTTAGGAAAAGATGCCTTGAGAAATACTTTGTGGAGAGAAAAAAAAAAAAAAAAAAGACCTTTTTTTCCTGCACCAGAGAACCAGTCACTTGTCTTTCAATGTGAAAGCAGTTAAAATGATAGTAAATGAGAATTTCCCTTTTGAATATACCTTCCATCTGAATGCTGTGAAAAAATGGATATCGGTCTTCATGAACCTCCCTCCAAAGTTATCTTTTAGGTTAAAAGTAGGAAAACAGAGTAATGTGAAAAGTTTTGTGGGAACGAGCAGAGATGCAGGGTTTGTGCTGAAATGAGGTGGAGCCCTGGGAGGCCAAGGAAGACTGAAAAGGGTATTCAAGGAGCTCACAGCCACTTTGCCCATAATGCAATGACTTGGCAGGAGCTCAACTTGGAAATATGACTGCCTCTTTTGCTAGAAATGGTTGAATCTGTCTCTGGCTTAGGGCTGTAACTTTTTAACCTCCAAATGTGGCTCGATGGTGACTGTGACAGGATAATACTGGGTCTATTGCTTATCTGGGAGAAATGTTCATCCTGTTAATCATTTGAACATCAAATTAACATGTTCATTAAAGTTTTGCATTAGTAAAGAAATGCATTGCTTTCTCATGCTGGACTGGGTCTGATTCCTCCCAGGTGGCTTCTGCCCTCTCTGATCATGGTGAGACCAGTGACTGGCAGCAGCAACCTGCCTCCTGCATTTCCCACTAGCTCTGTCTCCATGGCAAGCCTGCCCTTGTCCCCACCTTGCTGGACCAGCTGCAGGGGGTACCCACCATCACCTACCTCTGCTGAGCAGGGCTGGTTTGGAGAAGGCACTTGACTTCTTCTGTCTTCATCTCTCACGGGTGAAAAAATGGCAAATGCCAAAGAAAGAAAAAAAAAAAAGTCTTAAATCCAAGCAAGATGTTGCTGTCCTGCAGCATCCGTGGCAATCGTGGAGGGTCCCGGGGCAAAGCCCTTCTTGGGTGTGCTGCAGGCAACAGCTTGCAGCTCTCCACTGAGGTGCGGATCGGGCTTTGCGTGTAGGAGGTGAGAAGCCCTGCAAGGAGAACGGGTTCTTCTTTGCACACAAGAAGGTTGTGGCACAGCTGGTAACAACCTCCAAATCTTAATGATGCTAATATGCTTTAATCACAAGAGTAGATTTTTCCTTATCCTTCAAAGTGACTACATAACCTTCTCCTGCATCTTTTATTTACCTCCCCTTTTTATCACCCCAGACATTCATTTGCCTCTAAATCTGGGGAGAGTGGGCTAGCCCTTGGGGTGACCGAGTGGTGCAATGTCTCAGTTTTCCTCTCCTGCTCTTATGACATGAGAGAAACTCTGAGCAAGGATTTTTCCCTATCACATGTTCTGCTGCTGGCACCAGGAACCAGACCATTCAGAAGGGCTTTGCTCCATGCCTCATCGTTCATGTGACTGCTGGCTGAATACAAAATCTAAAAGGTTACCTGCTAGGTGCAGATAGCATCAGCTATTGCACATTGTTCATTGTCGCCAAAAACAGCAGCTGGTTTCATCGGACTAGTGCTGGAAAGGAGATACCAGCCCAGGAGTTGCGATATTTCCCTCTGCAGGTGTGTTGTTGTGATGTGCTGCACAGTTTAGCATAGGCATCCTCCAGCTCGGTGAAAATACTCAGCTGCTTGATCAAGGGAAGCGGGTTCTTAAGATTCCTTAGTTTTCACTGATGGGTATTTCTCTGTATGCACATTATAAGCCTCAGCTGTCTGCCTGCTTCAGCTTGAAATGAAAAATGAAATGATGTGCGCTTGCATGGGGGAGAGAGGAGGAGAAACAGTAAAGACCTGTTAAGGCAAATCATTTGTTTGGTTTTTACCTGTATCTGAGAGGTACTGAAATGACCACTTTATGTCCAAATCATTTGAAAAGGGATGTGGACTGAGGATTAGAAAAGCTATTTTCAAATAGCTACCAGAAGAAGGCTTTAGTTTTAAGAGCTGACCGGATATTTTTACATTATTTTCCCATTCCTAAAAGGAAATTTTTCTTATGGCCTCCAGATTCTGGTAACTTTAAACAGTTTAACTTGGAAAACATTTCAGTGACACCCATCAGCCCCTTAGCCTGCATAATGGGTTTAGGCACGAGTCCAGGAGGCTAGAACGCCAACAAAATGTAGCAGAGAGGAAATAGGCAGGGTAAAGATGATGTTTTTATCCACAGGGATTTGTTTGGGGAAAATACAGTAGAATTTGGTGTTTTCTGCTTGGAATGGTTCTTTTTTTCTCCCCTGCAGGCCAATCAGTGCAAGGTGCCCCTTGCACAGAAACGTGCCAGGCAGCAGAATGCTTGGGGAGTGGTGAAGTTGGGACGTTTTGAACAGGGTTTTTTGTGGTCATTTCCACATTGTTTCCCCTGAGATGCTGTATTCTGTGGAACGCTGCTCCTATATACCTCCATGTGGTGCAAGCAGGGAAAGTGCAGAAGGAGGTGGACCACCAAGCACTGGGGGGAACAGGGGCTGCATCCTTGCCAAGTTGTGAGGCCTCTTTTGGATGACAGTGCTGCCTGTTAGGGTTGAATGAACATCCTGTTAAAATTCTCACTTTTTAGTTGTTTGTGAAAATTAGTGAAACCTCAGCCAATAAGGCACAGATCTTCCCTTTTGGTTACCCTCTGCTTAAAACTTTGAGCCAAAATATTCAGATATTTGAAAATTAAAGGGACCCACAGCTGGAGGGACATACAAGAGCTAATCCTTTGGAGAAGGGGTGAAATGCTGAGGCTGGATGTGCAGCTGGGGAAGGTGGATGTGTGCTGAGTTTCCATGGGACAGGGCAGGTCTAGGCAGCATCGTGGTGGGGGCATGAGAAGGGTAAGCAGGCAGCTGGTGCGTGCAGGTTGGTTTCTCCTCTGCCTGTGCCTTGGGAAATAGCTGTCAGTGATGTGATTGCATACTCCTCATGTGACACGCAGGATGGGTCTGTCAATCAGTGTTTCACTCCGGATTATCTGCCGGGCCCTGGTATTGTTGCTGCTGGAGAAGGAGCAATAAATTGAACAGGTGGTGGTGGGAAGAGAGAGGTTTAATACAGCTCAGCTTTGTCAATGAAACAGCAAACAAAACAAATACCGTCTGCTGCAGATCTGGAGACTTTCTTCCTTTGTGGAGCCGTGTGGATGCCAGGCTGCTGCTGAACCTTGTTTTCCCATGAGGGTGAGAGCCACTCTGTGTTTTCCAGACCGCAATACAATACAGTCAGCATTGTGTCTCTGAGCCTCAAGTCCCAAACAAGGCAGCCACATGACACAAAACTTCAACCCAAGAGAAACTCACTTCTCCAGCTTGAGCATGGCCTAAGAGGTTTTATGAGGTTTTACTGGCATCTTGCTGGGTATCCTCATTTACACTTGAGACTGATGCTGATTTCTTGCATGGAGCAGCTTAAGTCCAGCCTCTCATGACTATTTTCTTGGAAGGGAGAAGGATATATTTGATAAATGGGTTGTTTGGATCTTACCGTGATGGTGTGACTCCTTGTTATGCATGCCTGGGGTTGGAGAGCAGTGGAGATCCTGAGTCCCCAGCCATGGAGTTTCCACTCAGGGTGATTACTGGCTCTTCCCAGTACTTTGAAGAGCATTAGTGATAATTAATTGTATAGCATATCATCAGCTCACCTACTAGGAAAAAATGCCCTCTTCAAGACAATAATCCATAGGAAGTGTGTTATGGCAGGGACTGGCTGCCTCCCAAGAAATATCTCTCTGGTCTGTGGAAAAAATGCGCTGAGGCCAGTGGGTGCAGCAGCAGTGATGTCTCCATTAGCAGTGACTGAGGCAGTGAGGAGGCCCCTTTCTTTTGTAAGAGCTGAATGGTGGATGCTGCTGCTCACATCCCACACTGAGACAGGGGCAGAGGCTGATCTACCTGTTTTGGAGGGCATCAGTGGACTCTGAACACAAATATAAGGGATCTGGCACCCTGTTCCAGGGTGGTGGCTGAGTGTCTGGTGTCTCTCTGGGCACCTTGCCACAGCAGGGATGGGACATGAGCACCCCCTGGCAGGAGCAGCTGCCTGGGATGAGAGCTTCATAGGTGGCTTTGCAATGAAGCTGCAGCAGGAGTAATTACACCCTGCAGCCTGGCACAGGGTGAAATGTGGAGTCTGCGGCAGGGGCTGGAGCCATGACTAGGGCGGCGAGGGGGCTGATTAAGATGAAATGCTCAGAGGGAAAAGAAAGTATCAGGATTTCAAAGGCAGGATCCTTCCCTGGTATTTGCATATTCGCGCTGGCTCCTTGTGGGAACAGGTACTTGGTCTGCAGTGGCATCAGTGGCAAGTTGCAGATGGTATATGAGCTTACATCTTCCTGTGGAGCAAGTCAGAGCATCTGTGTTAACAAGGAAGACCCTTGTTTTTCCACAAAAAGTCACCTGAATCATCAGTGCTGCTGCCCACAGTCCCTTCTCATGGGTCAGGGAAAGCTTTGGGATCACCACTCTCTGGTTGACAGCTTGGTCCCGGCTCAGGGACATATCCCCAGAACTTCCTTGTCCGGAGGCAGGTGCCTTATTAATAGCTCTGGTTCGAAGTCTTCTTCCTAGAGAGGTTTGCTAAGGAGAAGCCTTGGAGCCTGGAGCTCAGTTCCAGCCATGAGGACATGGAAATGTCACAGAAACTTCCTAAATTACTTGTCATGTGGGATTTGGAGGGCTTTGCCCTTTACAAACTCTGCCTTTAGGCATTGTAGGCATAAAACTTCTGCACAATGAGAGCTTTTCATTAAATCTGTCACCAGCATTCTTCCCCTCAGACCATGTCCTCCTCCATCAAAATCGAATCCGTTGTGAAGGAGAAGAACAGGATGGGAGAGTGCCCAGTTTGGGAAGAGAGGGAGAGTGCGCTCGTCTATGTAGACATTAACTCACAGAAAGTTTGCCGCTGGAGCTCTCTCACCAATGAAGTGCAGAGCGTGTCTGTGGGTAAGAGTCCATAGTCATCACTTCATCATGGGAATCTTCTCTGTCTGCTCCTGTCCATCCCTCCTGGTAGGAGTCCCACAGCATGGTGGTCTCCCTTACTTTCCGTGGGGTCACAATCCCTGTCCTCCCGTGACATGTTGCTGAATACGGTGTGCTTTGAGCCAGTTGATCAGAGGGGATTGTGCTTAGGTGCGGAGAGCCATGTGCATGTTGCTTTTGCTAAGCCCAGATGGGATGTTTCATTTGGAACCTGCAGAGGAAAAGCTACAATCCTAATGGCTGTGTCTGCCCAGAATGTGGGAAGATCTGGGGAGCACAGAGCCAGCAAGGAGTGCTAATGATCCCAGGGAAGAAGGATCTTAGCATCAACTCAGCCTGTCCCGGGTCAGGGATGTCCCAGTCAAGCCCAGATGCTCACAGTGAGATGGGGGGATTAGGGCTGACTGAAGGCCTGGAGCCATTCGCCATCTCCTGCTCCCTCTTGCCCACAGATGCCCGTGTTGGCTCAGTGGCACTGCGGCAGTGCGGGGGCTACGTCATCGCCCTGGGGACCAGGTTTGCCTTTCTGGACTGGGACACCAAGGCGGTCACCACCATCCTTGAGCTTGAGCAGGATAAGCCCAACAACAGATTCAATGACGGGAAGGTGGATCCAAAGGGAAGGTTTTTTGCTGGTAAGTTCCTGGCGGAATTTTCCCCCAGCTCAAAGAAGAACTAATTAAAGGGTATTTTGTACAGTGCGTTTTATTCCATGTTCTTGATTCCTCTGTGGAGTTCCCCATAAAAACTGCCGTTGCAAGCGTAAGCCATCTTGTGGATGCTCTGCTCAGTTACTGCCCAATGGAGGAGGACAAGGGACCCCACATCCCCTGACCCAAATGAGGACTGGGGCTGTCAACATGGGCTGTCTGGCAGGAAGGCTCCCCTTCTACTCGGCGGATGGTGTTTTACAAACATCTGATTCCATGGGAGCTGAAAAGCCAGTGAGGGGCTCATGCAGATAGGAATGTTTCTGGAGGTGTGCAGGGGGATGCAGGTCCTACAGTAAAAGATGAGCTGCAGCTTGAACCCTTCATGTACAGCCTCCTCTGGTTAGCCTGTGGGAAACAGGAATGTGAGGCGAGATCCTTGGCCTCCTGAAGGCAGGAGGGACTTTTGCCACTGGTTGCGATGCAAAGCCCTGTACTTTTTCTCCTCCTATATAAACGAGGACTCAAGCACAGAAATCCATGCTGGAAGCAGAGGGCAACTGATTGGAGTGAAAATGGCTCTGCATTTGCTTTTCCACCCAGCCTTTTCTTTTTATTTCAAATTTACCAAAAACCAGGAAATTCATTTCACTCATGGTTATGCTTGAGGGCTGACATGTCACTGGAGTTAAGGACAAGAAAAGAAACCCACCTGTTTTGCACACCCGTTCCTAGATGTGCATGGTGGATCAGTGCTTTTACAGGGGCTTTGGCCAAATGTTGTAAAACAAGCTCATGAAGTCTTCTAAAAGGGGAAGCCAACAGAAACAGCCTGTCACAGTTAAAAGAAGGCATGAATTTCCCCCTTGAGTGCTTCCCATCCCATTGATACAGAGCTCTTTCCTTTCTGGACAGAATCAGAAACTAAATAATGAGCAAAACACTGAGACATAAATCCATTAAGGAAAAAAAAATCTCACTTCTGTACTATTCTCCACTTGCTTCTGAGGCCACCATGATTTACAGCACCTGTATTTTAAGGTCACAGCCCATTTAAATGACAAAATCAGTCTACAAAGAGAACCAACAAAAAGAGCACCTGATGCTTGCCTGCCTCTTGGATTTTGCTGTGAGCAACCTCAGCATCTGATGTGTTGTGGTGCTCCTTTGGGTCTTTGGTGTATATGACTTAAACCTCATGGCAATGCAGAAACTCGTCCTTTTGTTGGCCAGAATGACCTCCATGGGAGGCAGCTGCTCCTGACCTGCACCTTTTAATCCTTCTCACCAGTCTGATGGGACCTGGGCAGACCCTTTCTCCCTAGGACCTCTCACTAACAGTTACAGGAGGTTTTTGATCAAGCCTGAGGAAAAATAAGCTTCTGCTTTCTAACTGTCACTCACATTTCCATTTCAGGTACAATGGCTGAAGAGACAGCACCGGGGGTCCGAGCAAAGCAGCAAGGAGCTCTCTATACCCTTTTCCCCAGCCACTCAGTAATAAAACAGTTAGACCAGGTGGACATCTCCAATGGTCTGGACTGGTCCCTGGACCACAGGACCTTCTTTCACATTGACAGCCTGGCATACGCTGTGCATGCCTTCAGCTACGATGTGCACACTGGAAAGATTGGTACAAGTGCTTTCCTAATTTCAGTGACAAATAGCGCTATCACTCTTCCTGCAGGAAGACCTGGGTGTGTAAGGTGATTTGTTTGACAGATCTCATAGCTCCTGGGTACAGCTTGTCAGCAAGCTGACCGTGACTTTTGTCAAATTTAGTTACACACCAGGTGTATTTGGTGAACACACTTTTGGCACTCCTTCAACTTACTTTCATCTGGGTAGATGGATCATATTTAGACCCTTTCAAGGAGCTGCAGGGAAAAAGCCATTTATACTGCAGAGTGAGAATTAGCTTTTAGGAAGCTATTTATTCTTCAGTGCCATCTACTGGAATACTTTGATTTGTACTAGTTCCACAAATACAAATACGGAATGTATGTGTATGCGTATCACAGGATTGTGTTTAAAGAATCAAGTTATCATTGTGACTGGAGTTTCCAAATTCTGAAATGAAAATTGCCCTCAGATGTTTGGTGAATTTCATTTGATTAATTTTCTGGACAAACATTATTTGATTCTGGACTGTAGTGATAGGACAAGGGGTAATGAGTTCAAGCTTAAACAGGGGAGATTTGAGTTAGATAGAAGGAAGAATTCTTCCCTGTGAGGGTGATGAGGCCCTGTCACAGGCTGCCCAGAGAAGCTGTGGCTGCCCTATCCCTGGCAGTGTTCAAGGCCAGGCTGGTTGGGGCTTGGAGCAACCTGGTCTAGTGGAATGTGGCCTTGTCTGTGGCAGGGAATTGGAGCCAGGTGGTCTTTAAATTTCCTTTCCAACCCAAAACATTCTGGCATTACATCTGCAAAAATGAAAATTCAAGTGCAAGCAAAATCGAGGTAACCTCATTTGAAAACTCGGTGAAATATTTTTGCGCTTTATCAACCAGCGGAAGTTTAAATTGTACTTCACGGGAGTTTAAATTATGGAGCTACCTTTGTGCTCTGATGAGTGGGGACTTTGTGTAATCATGGGTGAAAATCATACAAAATAATTACATTCTCTCAGATCTCATTTTGCAGAGAAAATCTATCTCTACAGATTTTATGATACAAGATTTCTAAAGAAGATGTAATGTGACTTCCTTTCCCCCACACTCTCCACCCCAATACACAAATGTAATGAATTTGAACTTCCTAGCCTTGGCTTTAAGTCAATGGCTGTCTGGTTTTGGGTGATGTAAATGCCATAAGGCACTGGATCAGAGCAGGCAGACTGCTGCCTACGGGCACTGCTCCATGGGCCCACCAACCCATCTTCACTGCAGCCTACACCATTAGCAGTTGTTGTCCAGGCTTAACCAAAACTGGTAGCTTGGCTGGCCATTAAAAGGTAAGGTTCTTCATCTTTAGCTGGCAGAGAATGCTTATCACCAACATTTAAACCTAAGTCATTATTTACGTGATGTGCTGCTCATAATAAGACATCCGGGCTGCTGTGAGAAAGAAAAGACCAGGAAAAGTTCTTGCACTTGCAGCAGTGGTGTTATGGTGGGCAGTTAGTAGGTTAACAAGAAGGACAGTGGTATTTTGTTCTCTTCCCTTGGTAAAATAGGAGCGTTAATCCAGTACAATTCCAAACTGCAGTGGTTCTACTGGTCACTTGTTTCTGCCAGGCTAAGTTAGGCTTCTAACACATTTGCTAAATGCATATATGATATACATTTTGCAGCACATCTTCCTCACGGAAAATGAACTTACCTGTTTGCAAGAGCGTGGAAGATGTTAGACTGGGATCTGATACAGAACTGGTAGGACCCCATGTAACACTGGCTTTGTAACTCTCCCTGCAGCCTGCCCCAGACTTTTGTACCACCTAGAAAAGGAGGAGCAAATGCCCGATGGGATGTGCATAGATGCAGAAGGGAAGCTCTGGGTGGCCTGTATTGATGGAGGGAGAGTCATTCGTATAGACCCAGAGACAGGTAAGGCATCCATCAGTACGTGTGAATCAAGTGTCACCTATGTGCCACGAATACAAGAGCAAGGAAGAATGGTTTGAAGGTGAGACAAGAAGGTGTTATCTATTGCCTGTTTCTGATCCATGTGATACCATGAGCATCACTGGTCCAGACCCTGATCACATGGAGAGCACAGCTCCCTGCGCTGCCTCCCAGTGTCAAGTACCCTTGCTCCCACAAGGAACCTCCTGATGTAGCACACCCACTTCTTAATAGTATACTAAAAGAAAATTAAAAAATGCATTGCATATCTATTGTGAGAAATATTATACACCTGCAATTCTTAATTATATGTAATTTAAAACTTAATTAAATTTAATTAAAAGAAAGAATTCAGCGTTGAAATGTTTAGCTGGGAAACTCTGTTAGGGAATGACAACCATGCCAGGCCAGGTGTCTCTGCTCTTCCTGGCTTTACATAGTGTATTACTTCTTTATGAGGAAAGGAAACAAAGCCTCACAGATACAGGGAAGAGAGTGAAAAATAGTTAGAGAGGAGGCAGATGAAAGAATTTGATTTCCCAACAAGCTATCCTTTAGGATATGGCCTCTGTCTGGAGAGGAGATTCCTTCTGAGTGAATGCCACATCTGTGCTATGTATGCATTAATATTTATATGGCATAAGTAAACAAATGCACATTTTCCCAGGAAAAAGAATCCAAACTGTGAGGCTGCCTACTCCGAGGATCACTTCTTGCTGCTTTGGTGGAAAAGACTACTCAGAAATGTACGTGACTTCTGCGTATGATGGATTGGACAAGACCACCTTAGCCAAGGAACCTCATGCGGGAGAGATTTTCAAGGTCAGCAGATCTTCTTTCTGTATCTCAGACCTGCCAAGCAGGGTGAGGTGTCCATCCTGCTCACCTCATTTGTTGGTCCAGATGTGTTGCTTGTCCTGTAGCTGGGTACAGCTGCTTTTGCACAGCCACTCATGCATTTGGAAGGAAGATTGGAATGTTGCTAAGCCAAAGTTGGTATCTGGTTGGGATCTGAAGGCCGCTAGTGGGTCTGAATCTGCCCTGTATAGCATAGTCTGTAATACACTGTAAGGAACTGGGACTTGCTCCTATGTCTTACTTTATTTTCATCCGTTCTGGAAATTTCACTTCCTTAATTCTCAGGTTTTAATTGTGCCAGGAAATCTAAATGTAATGTTTACAGCACAGATTGCACCTTTAAACATTTAAAGGTTACATTCACCAGGTCAAAATTCTGCATCCCAATCCCAAAACTTTGGAGATTATTATTTTTTTTAATATATTTAAAATGGTTGCTACATTTTGAGAAACTAATAATACACATTTTTGTCCATTTTTGCTCTTAAATCTGAAACTTGGTTTTCTCTTCATTTAGCAAAAAATTTAGCAAAAAGTACATCAGGAATGTAAAATGCAGTTCTTAATCATCAACTGCCATTATTCCCTGAAAGCTGACTGCAGCCAGTTTGGCTATAGCATGAAAACATGTTCCAGGAGAAATGGAGATCTAGTCTCAAATCTGGGACTTTCTGGTTTAAAGTAGTGCTTGGAACAGATTTTGCATGGCTGAGAACTACTAGATTTCTCAAGAAGCAGAGTTTAGGACCCCAGGAGAATTAAATGAGCCTTGTCTCTTTTTATCTCCTTCTCAGTTCTCCAGTTCTAGAAGGGAACTGGTATTTTCCAAACTCAGATGTCTTCCATGGGCAAAGCACATTCGAAGTTACTATGACTCGTTTGGTTACTATGGACATAAAGACCATATGTAAGGGCCGCAGACAATGTGTAAATTAGCAAAATTATTGAGTGGTGCTTGATTATCTTAAAGACCTTAATGAGTTCTAAAGAACTCCATTTAATCTTTTTAGTCTTCTATTGAACCAGGAGAACATTCACGTAGGAGTAGGTTGTTACGGTATTTGTTGTAAAACAGTTGAAGGTTTTCATTGTACTCAGTTGGAGACTTTTCTGTTTCTTTAATTTTTTCAAACAGATAACAGGCCTGGGTGTGAAAGGGATCCCACAGAACTTCTATGCTGCTTGAACACTGATGTTATATAACAAAGAAGAAGTGCTTGCATCTTGTAGTAACTCTGCCAAGGAGAAGTCCAATGAACTGCAGAATTTATCTGTATGAGGATTTCTAAATCCACATGTGAAAGCATTCCTGTTTGGACTTGAAGACATTCCTTCTCCTGTGGGCCTGTGTCTTGATGCAATAGGTTAGAGAGATAAAGTTAGCTGGTGCTACACCTGGATAGCTTTTGTGACTTCCCATAGACCTCTTCAAGCTTAGTTTTGTTGAACTTTCTGATTGACAAGCTCTGGATTTTCAAGATTGGGTGGTTCCTGTAGCAGAATCTGACTCATGGTTTATCTTTTCATGTTACAGTGATGTACCAGCTATGATATGGCAGATGTTAATAAACATTTTAAGTAAGTGATGACCTTAATTGCTCCTCTGCTGTGGGACTTCCCCAGAGTATGTTCTTTGGTGTTTTGGTGTCTTTCTCTGAGGTATTTGGCCTTTCCACCACTGCTATTGAAAGCCTTAAGTTAGTCCTCAGACACCAGGAAGTAAGTATTCAATGCCTCATGAGGACAGTTTCCCACAATGGCCCACAAGTGAAAGAGCAGAAAAAATGGTTAGCCACACAGAAATGTTAGAGTTTCTGTGGCGCTGTATGCAGATTCCCTCTAGAACTGAGCATTTTCTCCAGAACCAAGAATCCTTCTCCTGGCCAGGGGTTCTACATAGCGTGGTTTTGAAAGAACCGAGCTGGGCTGATTTCTTTGCTTCTGTGCTACTTGGCCAAATCATTGGTAAAACAGAACAAACGCTCTTGGCCCATTGCTCTGCTTCACTCCGACCTTGTTCTGGAAACAAGTTGATTCCATAGAGCGGCACAAAGACAACTTGATTGAGAAATAAAACGTTCAATTCATTCTAATGTTTGCTCAACAACTGGGCTGTTATTTTTTTCCTAGTCATAATTCCAATCGCAATTAAGCTGCTGGGGTGTTTTAAGAGCAAAGGTGTTAAATGCTCCTTTGGCACCATGTCAATGCCAAACTGGTATAAGGGATGTTGACAATTATGCAAGATTTCCTGTTTGCCCCATCTGGAGAGGAAAGTGAAGGTAGGATATTTGGAGGCAAGTCAAGTGTCCTGACCTTTAATTAAAAAAAAGAAAAAATATAGAAGTGTGTGCAGATATCTTATTTAATAAAAAATTACCAAATTATTTGCAAAATTGCCTATCCATTATGTTAAATGTTCTGCCAGAAAGGAAAATAGATAGTTTTGAAAAACTTACACTTTAGAAATCCTCAATACCCTCATAATTTTTTTCTTGAGCTTACTTGGGCACGCAAGCCAGGCTCACTGGTTTGTAATTCTTCAGCTACTCCTTCCTCCATCTCTAAATGGAGATACTGTGCATGCTGCTGTCAGACTCCAGCGTCTGAGTGCTCTTGGATCTTTTTCGGTGTAGCACAGCTTCCCAAAGTAAAGAAAGGTTTGAAGATGAATTTCACTCTGTTACCCAAGGGCCCACTACTTCATTTCTCTTCAGATTTCAGAAGTTGCTCTTTCGTGATTTTGCTTCCTAGAAAAAAGCACTGATTGAAAACCAGGGGATATGGGACTGGCTTTATTCTCTTTGTCTGTGTAGGGAATAATGCAGTATCTATAGTCCTTGGTGAGGATACTCTCTGAGATAGTGACTGTGTGACTGAGTACGTGGTTGGTGTGGGTCAGCCCCACACAGTGAGAAGCATAGCAGGGAGGATGCTGTCTGCACAGGGTTAACCTGCTAATGAAGCGTCTTCACAGTGTAGATCACAGGCAGAACACAAAACATCTTGTCAATGAGCTAGCAGTGACTGATGAAAGCTGGCTTCTCTTGTAAGGGATTGGTTTGTACATCCTGCATTTTATAAACTTTTCTAAGTATTTACTATGCTTAATGTATATTTAGCTATACCAGTCTGGATAAATCTTACTTTTCTTGCATACTTTTGTGTGTGTTGGAAATAGGCATTCAACTGGGAAGATTTTGGTCCTGGTGTTTTCTGGCCCTTGTGGGACAACGTGACTGTCATTCTTTGCCTACCCAAAAATACATGCCTTCGAGAAAACCTGTTAAATCTAAACTGAGGGTCTCCAAATATTCATAAATGCAGCTAGGATGTGAACGAAGGTAGTAGTTAAACATCATGGCTGGGCTGGCATTGCTGCTGCACCCACATGCTGTCACATGCCTGGAATTGGCAAATACAGGTGTGTAGGGTTTGCTTCACTGTTTTTTACTATCATGCCAAGGACTCTGGGCAGGAAAGAAGACGTAAAAATAATCCTGGATAAGGAGACATAATCTTTTTCCTAGCAATCTTTGTTTGCTTATTTCTTGTTCTGATTATCTACCTATCTTAAAGAGAAACTATAACCTCCTCACTAATGAGAGAAGGGACAGACATGAAGTAGAGAAGTTTAAGTAGAAAGTTCACAAGAGTTACCTACTGCAGGTAAATATGTCCCTGGCAGAACAGAGAGGTAGCTGCCCTGTTGAAATTACCTGGCTTTCCATAGTTGTTTGTTTTACTTTGATCCTATTGTGCTCCCTGCTCACATCAGCGTTAAACTTACTTAGAAACACTGAATCCAGACCTTTGCTACCTTCTTGCTGTTATCTCTCTTTGTCAATGTGGACTCAGATTTCAGAGGGTAATGAGATTACAGAGGAGAGACACCGAACTTTGAACTCCTATTCACGTGAAAATACTCTTGGATAATGAGAAGCCACTTGCCTATGAACTATTAACAGGACTATCGGATGACCTGAGGGGTGACTTTGGTCAGCAGATAGGCCTGACTGGGAAAATGGCTGCAGAAGCAAGAGGCAAGGCATGTCCTTTGGAGGTGTATGAGCAGGAACTGGGTGTCTGCAAAAGGGTGGCTGAAGGGCAGAAATAGCTGTAGATTGTTTTGTCTAAGACTGTAGGTAGCTTGAGCTGTTTGAAAGTGCTGGTTTACTGAGTGTGTTTGTGCTGCCTGTTGCACTACTGACAACCTGAAAGTCAAAAAATACAGTTGGTGTTAGTGTTGGGTTCTCCTGCTGCCCCAAAATAACACTCATGCAAGCTGTAAATGCAAGCAGTGATAGCCTCTGAGGATGTGTAAGACCCTCGTCCTCATCAGCTGCTGTCTTCTTAAAGAAGAATGTGTATGTTTAGCAGTACCCAAGTCATGTTAGGGAAGAGAGGATATGTGTGAATACCATGTTAAGACTGTGGTATCTTCTGGAAAGGGCTGGTATCACAGCACTGGTACACTGGAAGGATTTAAAGATGAAGGGAAATGGAAGGAGCTATCAGAGGTGGGAGTTAACATGGAAGCCGAGGTGGTGTTGAAAAGTGAAGGCATAGAGAGGGGAAGGACATATTGCTGGCAGTTGTGGCAGAAAGCAAGAGACAGGAAGGTGGGCTCCGTAGTTTGGAAGTAAAGCTTGAAATAGAGCAATTGTATCTGGAAGGACACTTGGAGGACTCTGAAGATGCTTGCTCCATCCTCTGCAGGGCTTTCCTTGACTGCTGATTAGTTTCTTGTTTCCAAAGGGAGACAGTGGTGGGGGAAAAGCTGAACTGCCCTCTCCCATACCTTTTGCAAAGATCTTCACTATTCTTTTAAAATCACCTCAGACCCAAACAGCTGGGCTTTTCCACAATGGACCCATTTGTATTTAATGCGGTAAGAAGTGTTGATGCAGGGTTTGGGACTATGTAGGATGATGGAGTTACCTCCATGTCAATGTCATCTGCGTGTATGGAGCAGTGAGAGGTAGGCTACAAGAAAGACAAGGAGTTTGAAGTTGATCTGGAGCAAATAAGGGGAGCCGTGCTCGTAACATGAAGTATTGGGCTGGTTTCTGGTTTGGGATGTTGGGCATCTTGGGAAGTATTTTTTCATCTGGGAGTATTTAACTTTGCTCTAGGAAAACTAAGGTGTGTATGGATCCAGAAGCTTTCCGTATCAAAGGCACTATCGGTTCGCCTTGAAGGCCTGGTCAGTGGCCTTCCTTCTCCTGCTCTGTCCCATCTGTAAAGGCCTATGAGTGGGTTTTGAGCTATCTCCCAAATGCCTTTCCAGATGCTGCGTGGCAGGGAAAGGGCAGACTAACTAAGTTTAAGGGCTAACTAGTCCTGCCTTATGCCATGCTTTGTGCCTGTACCTGGATCCCACCTTCAGTTTTCTTTCTTCCCTATCCTTCCCCTGCACTTGCACGTGCTCCTTTGGAGCACCTTGGACTTGCTCACATGATTGGAACTCAGTGAAGCCAGTATAGCCACAATCAGTGGAAATATGACATAAAATTATCTTTTCAATGCGCACACAGAAAGGCTCAAACAGGTGTTTGCTTTCTCTTAGGAACTACAAACCAAGGATTGACCTGGGATATTTCTGTGGAGAAAAGGAGGGAAAAACATGAGCTTGAGAGGAATTGTAGCATGAATGTTTTTGGGGACAGTGGAGATTTTTTTGAGTAATTTGGCATAAATTACTCCTGTCAAAAGAAAGGAAAAAAAAAAAAAAAGGAAGAGTACTATGGCCAAACTTGCCTATCCTATCTTGGCTTTGGGAAGGTTGTGCTTGTGCTGGCCTGGAGCAGTTTGGGACCTGGCATTGCATCTTCCAGTGCAGAATCACTTAATACTTTGCAGGCAGTGCTCCTGGGATGACTGCCCACAGCTGTGTGCTCCTGTCCTCTCTGCCAGACTCCTGCCCAGGCCAGGGCTATCTCCACTCCTCCAGATAGCTTGTTTGTGCTCTTTGATGAAAAGTTACTGCTTTGAAACCAACAAATTCTTCCTCGCGTGGAGAAGAGAAACGGGAAGCTTTAGGGTGTAACTCAGAGCAGACTGATTCCAGATGCCTACTCGAGGCTACTGTATTGCACCTTTTAATTATGTACTTCCTTTGGTTGCATAAGGAGTCTTAGGTAGGTAGTGCAGAACGAGAATGGGGTGTAAAGGACACCAAGGAGAGTTGATAGCCTGCTAGAGAAAACATGGTACAGATACACAGAGACTGCCTGTCTGGGAAAGCTGGAGAGAGATCACTGCTATCATCCCTACCCTTGGGTAACTGAGGCAAAACCGGAATTGCTTAAGCAATCTTCAGTAGATTTGGAGGTCCCAGCAAAATCCCATCCGCTGCCTACTCCTCTAACTCCTGGTGGGTTTTGGTGACATGGGGACTGCGGTAGGGGTTGGTAATGGGAACTAGTGGGAGTAACTGCTGAGAGGTGGGAAGGCAAAAATTAATGCCCCAGAATTAAAGCTGATAACAAGCCTTGCAGACTGCATCTTCCCTCCTCTGGCTGCTGCTGCTGTTGCTCCATCCCCCTCCTACTCACTGCTGGTGCCAATGAGGGCTGTTTGCACCCACTTTCACAAGATGGAGTGGGAGTAACTTGAGTCAGCTCTGAGTGAGCGCCCCCTCACCACTTCTTCAGTGTTGGCGATCTCTGCTCAGCATGCAGGTGCCAAAGCTGCCGGGGGTGGGCGGTTTCGAGGTGGCTATCCTAGGAATTGCTCTTGATTCTCCTTAAGAGGCAAGTCGCTGAGGAAGAGTTGCTATTTTCTACAGTGTGTCAGTTGGGATTTCTCAAAAGGGCAGAAAGTGAGCTTCCTGTTTACTCTAACAAATGCCTTTATCCATTTGAACAGCACATTTCCATGTACAGCTGTTTGCTGATGCAAAGGCAACATCCTACGGTGAGCTGTATTTCATAAGGTGCACTTCCTGACACATTAGTGACCTTTCTAGTAATTAAAACCACATAGAGTAATCTTATAAACTTCTCATTTATCTTCAGCATCT